TCCGGGAGCTCCGGAATTCCCAAATTCCCAAATTTTGGGGTTTTTTTTGGGAAACTTGCCTTGTGGTTGATGCGCTGGTGGTTGAGGGGGGTCCAGGAGCTGAGGCGGAGCCGGAGCGCGGATCCGTCCGGAATTTTGGGAGGCGCGAACGCCATGGGCAGGGTGGCTGAAAACGGGGAAAAATAGGGGAAAAATGGGATTTTAATGAGGGAGCCAATGGAAGAAAGGTGGGAATTATCCCTGTGCCGTTACTTCGTTTTTATGGGAAAAATGGGATTTTAATGAGGGAGTCAATGGAAGAAAGGTGGGAATTATCCCTGTGCTGTTCCTTCATTTTTATGGGAAAAACCAGAATTTTAATGAGGGATCCAATGGAAGAAAGGTGGAATTTATCCCTGTGCCGTTCCTTCATTTTTATGGGAAAAATAGAATTTTAAGGAGGGATCCAATGGAAGAAAGGTGGGCGTTATCCCTGTGCCGTTCCTTCTTTTTCATGGAAAAATTTTTAATTTTAAGAAGGAATCCAATGGAACAAAGGTGGGAATTATCCCTGTGCCGTTCCTTCATTTTTATGGGAAAAAATAGAATTTTAACAAGGAATCCAATGATTTCATGGAAGAAGCATGAACGTTATCCCTGTGCCGTTCCTTCATTTTTATGGGAAAAAATAGAATTTTAAGGAATCCAAGAGAACAAAGGTGGGCGTTATCCCTGTGCCATTGGTTGATTTTCATGGAAAAAAATAGAATTTTAACAAGGGATCCAATGGAACAAAGATGGGAATTATCCCTGTGCCGTTCCTTCATTTTCATGGAAAAATCTTTAATTTTAACAAGGGATCCAATTATACAAAGGTGGGCATTTTCCCTGTGCCATTCCTTCAATTTTATGGGAAAAAAATGGAATTTTAACAAGGAATCCAATGATTTCATGGAAGAAGCATGAACATTATCCTGTGCCATTCCTTCATTTTTATGGGAAAAACAGAATTTTAAGAAGGAATCCAATGGAAGAAAGATGGGAATTATCCCTGTGCCATTCCTTCATTTTCATGGGGAAAAAATAGAATTTTAAGAGGGATCCAATGGAATAAAGGTGGAATTTATCCCTGTGCCGTTCCTTCATTTTCATGGAAAAAAATAGAATTTTAAGAGGGAATCCAATGATTTCACAGCAATTTTTTTAAAAATAATTGTAATATATTTTTAAGGAATCCAATGGTTCCACAGCTCATTTTTTTTAGGGCGGAAAAACAAGATTTTAACCGGAATTTAATGATTTAACAGAATAAACGTGAGCGTTATCCCGGTGCCGTTCCTTGGTTTTTATGGGGAAATAAAAAATTAACGAGGAAATAAATGGCAAAAAATGGAGAAATAATTCAAAATTAAAGTGGGGTGAGGCTTTTTTGTGATTTCGTGTAGCCGCAACATCCATGAAATTAAAATCCTGGAATTGCTCAAGAACCAGTGGGAAATTCTTTTCCAACCCCAAAACATCCTGGAATTCTGGGATTTCCCACTGGAACCTTTGTGCACTAAGAAATAATTGAAATAATTAAGAAATAATTAAGAAATAATTAATTATTAAGCAGGTCTTCAATTTTTTTCACCCTTAAAATTCCATTATTTTTGCACTAAAAAGGATTTTTCCACCCTTAAAACTCCTTGATTTTTGCAGGAAAAAGGGATTTTTCCAAATGTTCATCATCTGGGAAAATCTGAAACTTCAGGATGTGGAAAAGTCTGTCAGAAAATTCAGGGATTGGGAAAAGTCTGTCTGAAAGGTCAAGATTTGGGAAAAACGTGTCTGAAAATTCAGGATTTGGGAAAAACATGACTGAAAATTCAGGATTGGGGAAAAGTCTGTCTGAAAATTCAGGATTTGGGGAAAAAAACTTCAAGATTTGGGAAAAGTCTGTCTGAAAGTTCAGAACCTGGAAAAGTCTGAAAATTCAGGATTTGGGAAAATTCTGAAACTGCAGGATCAGGGAAAAGTCTGTCTGAAAACTCAGGATTTGGGAAAAATGTGAAACTTCAGGATCTGGGAAAAGTCTGTCTGAAACCTTCAGGATCTGGGAAAAATGAGTCTGAAAATTCAGAATTTGGGAAAAAACCTTCAGGATTTGGGAAAAGTGTTTCTGAAAGTTCAGGATCTGGAAAAGTCAGAAAATTCAGGATCTGGGAAAATTCTGAAACTGGGAATTTGGGAAAAGTCTGTCGGAAACTTCAGGATTTGGGAAAAACGTGTCTGAAACCTTTAGGATTTGGGAAAAATGTGTCTGAAAATTCAGGATTTGGGGAGAAAACCTTCAGGATTTAGGAAAAGTGTTTCTGAAAATTCAGGATTTGGGAAAAGCCTTCTCTGGAGGAGAAGTGGCGGGGCAGGCCTGGATCTTTGTCTCCATGTGCAGGATCCCATTATTATTATTATTCCATAATAATTCCACAATTATTCCATAATAATTCCACAATTATTCCATAATAATTCCACAATAATTCCATAATAATTCCACAATAATTCCATAAAGCTGCACAAGGCACAGAACTGCCTGGATTGGGGCGGATATTTGAGAATTCCGTGAAATTCCTCAAAGCTGGGGCTCACTTAGGAGCTCATTCCTGGAATGGTTTGGTTGGGAAAAAAAAATTTAAAAATCACCAATTTCCACCTTTTTATCCATGGAAAAGCAGCTGGAATTCTGAGCAGCTGGCTGCCCAAAATAACGTTGCAGAGATTGCTCCAGCTCCTTCTTCCCAACAGGAATTTGATGGAATTGGGCTCAGGTGATCCCAAAATATTCCAGCAGCAAAGAGGCAGGAGGGGAAGTTAACAAATAAACATCAGGAAAATGTTGGTTCCTCGCCCAAAGAGGAAAAGATATCGAAACAAAACGCCAAAAAAAAAATTCCAAAAATCAATTTTCATTGTAAAAAAAAATGAAATGTAGGAGCAGGTGGCAGGTATATCCATAATGAGCACATCCCATTAACCAGGGGCGTTGGAATAATTTCCTTTAGCTGGGTTAATCTCTGCTTAAATTTATTATTTCTAGCAGAAATCTAGTTTATGCTGATCATTTTATTATCATTTTCCTGGTTTTTGACAGCGTCTCTGCAGAAATGAAACCCTTGTGGTGCACGGAGCCCATCAATCCACGTGGCAGTAGAGGAGTTCGGCTGGGAATAAACTTTAAAAAATTTTAGGATTTAACCGATTTTGGAATTTAACTTGAGGAATCAAGCTCAAGTTAAAGGAGGAGGAGGAGAGTAATTTTAATTGGAAATTGTAATATCAGAATAAAGAGCGCAGCGATGGGAGAAAGGAGTTAAGCAGCAGCAGGAAGAACCGGCAGGGCAGAGGGTGGATGGGGAAGGGCCTGGGGCTGAAATCAATAATTTAAAATCAATAATCAATAATCAATAGTCAATAATCAATAATTAATAATCAATAATCAAGAATCAATAGTCAAGAATCAAGAATCCAGCCAGGCTGGGATTTTCCCAAGGATTCCAGCGTGTTTTCCAAGCATTCCCTGAGATTTTTGGTCGCACGATCCCCCAGCACTGGGGACATCGCTGGGACCGGGGATTGTTCAGGCTGGGGAAACCCGCCGCGGTCAGCGACCGAAACCACAAAGCGATCCACGTCCCCAAGCGCCACATCCTCGTGCTTTGGGACATTTCCAGGGATGGGGAAGGATTCCAAGCTGCTCCAGCGCTTGGCCACCCAAATATCCGAGCTGAGCGTGCCCTGGCACGGCTGGGGGCTGTTCCCTCTCATCCTGTCCCTGTTCCCCGGAGCAGAGCTGTCCCCCCGGCTGTCCCCTCCTGTCAGGAGCTGTGCAGAGCCAGAAATTCCCCCTGAGCCTCCTTTTCTCCAGGCTGAGCCCCTTCCCAGCTCCCTCAGCCGCTCCTGGTGCTCCAGCCCCTTCCCCAGCTCCGTTCCCATCCCTGGACACGCTCCAGCCCCTCAATGTCCTTCCACCGCCGGTTCCCGACCTTCCTCCCGGCACCCCGAGCCCCTCATCCCCTCCGCCTTCCCCACGGAGCTTGTGCCACCTCCCAGCGCATTC